TGATTATGCTAACCATAATAAAACTTCAGTGTTACATTTATATGTATAGAAATGTGTGTGTGTGCATCTGTGGGAGGTGAGGGAGAAAGGGAAGGAATTGTAAAAATACAATTAATTTCAGTAATCTCCACAAGTATGTCCCCAACTGACATATATATTCCCAGAAAACAATGAATATGCTGCAGATTAGAGTGACATATAATTTTTTTTGCCTTTGCAAATGCCTCCAGCCCCACACATCAGCACATAGCTCCTCACCTTCCACAGAGTTCAGTCAGGCTCTGCCATCTCTCCTCAGTACACAGAGCCTCACAGCAAAGATGTTCATTTCCCCCACCACTCCATCCATGATTCTTGCTTTCTGCTTCCCCTGCATGACCACCCACTCTGCTGTCTTTTCTTACCAGCTTCCTTCTCTTCTGTACCTCTTGCAGCTGCTGATCCATCTCTAATATCTCTCACACCTCTCTATGACTCCGCTTACATTAGCCAAAAATGCCTTCCCTCTGCAGTGGTGCAGAATAAGTGATGTCCCTGTGCATCAGCTAACCTCAAGCAGCTTTTCCTCCCATTTCTCCAAAGCATCCCTAATTGTGATAGCTCACTCCTGCTACCTTCATCTACTCCTCTTGCACTAACCTACATGGACATTGGATAAACATGAAGTGATCTCCTTGTCCAGCAGGGAAGTTCTTTTCCCTCACCTTCACACACCAGTGTCCTTGGTGGTGTTATTCTCAGTTTAAACTGTAATCCCACCTTGGCAGGCAGCTTTGCCTCTGGGGTGTCCCTGGAGTACTCTGGCAGAACTCTGTGACTACTGAGAAATTATCAGCAACAGCATTTTGCTCCATGCTTCTAGACATTGTGCTAGCCCTGTAAAAATAGATGCTTACCAAATACATGAAATTAAAGCAGCCTCACGGGAAAGAAAGCCTGGAGCACCCCAGGTGGGGAGCCCCCCTGCTGACACTCAATTTGTGCATTAGAGGGTGATAAGCGGGGAGATGTGGTGCGGAGCCATGCCGGTCTCCTGGTGGTTTTGTTGTTGTTGTCGCAACATGGTGGAGAATATCCAGGCTTGCCAGTAAGTCAAGGAACAATCTCTTCCTATTATGCCTGCTCGAATACTAAACCGGCTTACAGTCACACATCTGCATGATCCTAACCTTCCCTCATTACAAACACAGTAGGGATTTACTTGCACCACACTAGCTGCATGGGGCCAATATTTTTATCCAGTAAAATCACATATTGTTACCTCCATGGGTACAGTGGAAACAGCATGAGTAATGGAACCCTTAATCCTCATTTTTCAAAATTAGATTATAGTTTTACCTTCACTTTCTCTTAGTTTTTAAATCTCTCCCAATACCCAGCATCAAAGACGCTGCTCTCCCTCTAATCACATTCTCTGGTGGCTCCAGTTGTGGCTGGCTAGAAGTGGTTGCCTATGTAGAACCAGACCACAGGAGACTGCTGGTATCACCTTCAGTCACCTTCCCTGTGCTCCTTGAAGAATTAGTTTAATCGGAGAAGATAAAGTAAATACCATATAATGTAAAATTAAATTAAAACCTATATGCAACAACAAAGATAGTATTAAGATGTATCCATCATGCCTCTCTATCTCTGCACTTGCAGATAAACAGAGAGATTTATAAGGCAGGAACTATTCCAGTTCCTGCCAGTACCAGAGGCTGGCAATATTGAATTAATCTGCCCATATTTTTCAAAAGCTTTTTGTAAGCAGTAAGGTCTGCACAGTGCAGTCTCTTGTACCTCCTGCCATGCTCTGGAGTGAAACATGTTACGCAGCATAACACAGTGGATCCTGCTTTAAGGTACAAAGCAAAATCATTGTGTGATCTACTCAGCTGCCTCACACTCCAATTACATAGTTTTAGCCAGCATATAGGCTCAGCAGTACTGCCATGTAGCATTCTTGAGAATTGCTTAGTGAATTCCATTTAATTATTGTAAAGTAATTATTCTGCAAACTGCAGTCTGCTAGGAAGAGCTAAATATCCTTGTATAATCATGGCAGCGTAGTTAAAGTGACAATTACATACCATTTTTAAGTCCTCTGTAACACTGGCTAGGACGCCTTCTTTGGCATGAAAATTGCCACATTTATGCTAATAGGAACATAAAATATTGCTGCAAACTTTGAATACTCTGTGCCAAACTGGTCTTGAATTAAATGTAAACAAATGTCACCTATTTGAAGCCCCTTCACTAAAAGAGCTGTTATGTTATAGCGCATTAATTATTATTGTTTAAACTGCAATATCTAAGATGCAGCAAAAATTGCAGATCCCCTTATGCTAATCACTTTACAAACACTGAATAAAATCATGCTCCTCCCCTATATGTCAAATGATTCCTCTCATTGCTGAGAACACAGCTGCACTGGGCAGGGCACGCCTCAAGGATGAAGGACCACCACCTCCCTAAGATCTTGCTTTATGGTGAAATTGCCACTGGCTGCTGCAAGAGAGGAGCCCCGAGAAAAGATACAAGGACTCCCTGAAACAACATCTCAACCTCGGCCATATTGATCACCATAACTGGTCTACTCTGGCCTCAAATTGGGAGGCCTGGAGACACACCATCTATAACGCTGCTGTTTCCTTTGAGAACACACGCAGGATCACTCTCGAGGAGAAAAGGCAACACAGAAAGAACCGTGTCTTGCAGAATACACCACCTAAGGAGTCTTTCTGCTGTGCCTTTTGCAATCGGATATGTCTGTCTCGTATTGGCCTCATAAGCCACCAGTGTGCTTGTAACAAATGTGGATAGAGCCTTCCCAAATCTTTGTTCACGAAGCCTAGCCATGAATGAAATAGATATATATATATAACATATGTATGCAGTATCACAGTGTGCTGTGTCTGAATTATTTTGCCTTTGTCCTGTTCCTCTCCTGGTAGCTACATCAGGATGCTGTGATGGGTCAAAAGGCCTTGGAGTAGAAGTTGGGTCACACAGCGCTGGGCCTTTTGCTTGCCCTAGGTGTGAATTCCTGGCCTCTCATTTCCAACATAAACCAATGGCTCCAGATGCCAATCTTTGCTCTCCAGTGTTTCACTGGGAAATCAAGACTACCTCCAGGTCAGAATTGCTTCTCCATCTGTAAAAGGCAGCTCAGGCCTGTTGAATGCATTTAATGCCATACACCTCTCTGTCCATTGCCTTCAAGGAGAGTTGTGTCCCTCACTGCCACTTCCCTAGAAAAACGTGCTGACTTCTGATAGGTTTGAATTTTGAGAACTGCATTCTGTGTTCAAAGTCTGTGCTAGCACACCTGTGAGTCCTCCTGCCTTTGCTCCTCCTAGGCGATTTTGGTGTTTGAATGCTTCTTGGTTTCTGCCAGAGCCTTGGCGGTGTTGGCTGGCCAGTATCCCAGCCTGCCAAAGACTTTACTCCCTTTTTTCCCCTTTTCACTCTTAATCCCTTGTGTGATTTTCACCCCCCTTCCCAAATCCCTGCCCCACTTCATCCACCTCCACAGAGTTCAGCCCCTCCTGAGACAGGCAGTGCAGGGAAGGCAGCCCTGCAGTCAGCAAGCACATGTTTTCCCTTGCCTACGAGCACGGCTGAATGTCTGGGTCACAGCAAAGCCCTAGAGCCTGCCGGCAGCCATAGTCTGCTCTGTGCCCTCAGCCTCCTCAGCAGAGATGGCTATGAAAAGCCTTTTACTCCACAAGTTGGTAGGTTTTCACCCAGGATCACCCATGGATCACTGCTATGGGATTTGTAAGCTGAGCTCTAATTAACTTAAAAAGCGGATTTACGAAAAAAAGGAAAGTTGCAGGGTTTGAACCAGGAAGCCTCATGAAAGCAGATTGCATATTTAATTTGCTCTGTCAGACAATAAGAAGATCAAATGATTTAAACAGTTGATGTGTTGTGAAAACACATCCTGTCGCAGCTGGGATGTGGATGGAGTCCTAATCACTCATTTCCCCTCAGCGTCATTCCCCCGTCTCTGCTGTAACACCATGGAGTTTGGAGTTTAATGTGCTGGTAATTGAAAGATGCTTCTCTCAATGTATTTCAAGACAGATTTTTCAGAGAAAGAGTCCCATTGTATTTTCAATAACAAATATATGAGATAATGCCATTAATTTCTTGTATCCTAGTTTTGTCTTTTTCATAGTCCCCTGGGTAAATCATCAGTAAGCTTTGTTTACAGCTTCAGTTTTTCATTCATATCCTGCTTTTCTCCCCCTCCCTTTCTCCTTCCACCTATTCTTTCTGCTTCTCTCCATCTTTTCTTTCCCCTTTGAATCCAGCATCCCAGGAAGTTCAGTGAGCATGCCCTACTCAGTATTATTCATGCAGGTGTCTTACAGGACTCTTTTAAACATGCTGTGAGGAATTGAGTTCACTCTTGGCCAAAGGTTTCTGAGGAAGGCGACTTTTATTATTCAGATACACTCTGCAGAATACAGATAAACTTCAGCGCTCCCCTCTAACATTCTGTCCTCTTCTAGTACTTCCAGCGCAGAGAGTTATCTTCATTAACAAGTTCAAATCACTACATACTTGCAGCATCAGTGGTCAACGAGTGCATGTTTTACTCGGTCAGTGAGATGAGCTAAACAGATAAGTTACTTTCTCTGGTCAAAAACATCCTCTTTCCTTAATGGAACAGCTTAATTGTTCCTTCTTTCTCCTGGCCCTGTGGGAGAGATTATTGAAGACAGATGGGCACAGAAGTGTGCATACATTAGCGGGTAAGGTTGGATGTAGCCATTCTGTGGATGGGAGGGCCAACAGCTGCATGGTGGTATGCAGACACCTGGGAAATGCCTGAGCCTACCAAACGAGTGCAGAGCACTGGTGACCCCGTGCTGTTCTGATGCCTTGAGCTGGGGGACTATGATGTCACATGAGTGTGCATATGAAGTCCTGCACAGCTCCGTAGGCTTGGCCACGTGCATCAAACCTGTGCAAAGGTGCAATCACGCAGACACGACTTTTTTAAAAAGTCATTTGTTTGCATCAACATCGTGTTCTCCCTTCCCTATTGCTTTGTGATAGCCTTTCAAAATTGATGTTATTGCTGGCTCTTTTGCTGCCACTAGTTTCTCTCCTTCGTGCAAACTCTCTGAAACTGCTTGTCTGGGAGGTGGCATTGCCTGCTCATGAACACAGAAGCCAGCAAGGTTGCCATCAGTGTTTGCAGAACCCAGCCTAGGAGGGGAACCTAGATGCTGGATGCAAAGTTTTTGCAGGTGGATTTTAGACTGTGCTGAGTGAAGAAACATGACTAATGTTTCATGTTTAAGAAGAAATTCAGAATGATGATAGCTATGTACTGATCCCTGCTGTGACAGGCAGGACTTCTGCCATTCTGTTCCCAACACTAATATGAAGACTCTCTTTCAAGTGTGGCAAGTGATTAAGGTGGAGATTAGGAACAGAAATTACATTAGCTGTATAGTTTAAGTCTCTTGGCCCATTTGCCGCCACTTAAAATTTGTGGAATTTTGCAAATGACCTTCTTGGTTGGTGTCTTACTTGAGCAATAGTGACAACCATCACTTGTGTTCAGCTGGTACAAGGCTGGAGTCACATGAATCACATAAATTCTCCCTATGTTGTGTTTGTGAAGTCTCATAACTAACTTCAAACATTGATCAGTCTTGAGGAGGACTCAGCTATCCAGATCTAAGAGCTTGGCTACTTATGCTGTGATGTTACTTCAGTTGATCTCTGTGAAAGTGCAACCGTGCTTTGAAAGTGCAAATGATCAGGATAATGAAAGTGCATATGATCAGGATATTAAGTGCATTCATTGCACTGGTGAGGAAGGCCCAAATTTTTTTTCTGGGCAACATCTCAGAAGCCCACTGGCTCATTGCTGAGTGATGTCATGTGAGAAATGTGCTTCATGTCATCCTGTGTGATGTGACACAATGAATTCTTTATCAGAAAACTCTTTGGGATGGAGGGGCAATGCTCCTTTTGTGTCTCAGTGTAGCATCTAAAACCAGTTTTTCAAGCTGTAACTAGTGAGCAAAACCAAACACAGATTGTCAGCCCTCCATTTCTTTTTTTCTTTTTTTGAGAGGACCCTGTGATGAGTGGTTTCATTAATCCTCCCACAGAGATAGTTACAAAACTTTGAAGTAAAGTCAGCTGCTGGAAACCCTGTCTGGAGTCTGCATACCCTAATTTGCATTTTGATTTCTGTGATTTAACTGAAGGCACAGGTTGTTGCTGCCAAATATCCCTTGCCTACCGAGGGATATACAAGGTAGAACTGCCCAAAGCAGCCTGACTTATGAGGACTGCCACGGCAACACAACCAATGCATCCCTAAACATTTAGTAATAAAAAATCTGTTGTTCTTTAGTCGCCAGGATTTAACAAGCCTAATCCCTAGGAGAGGTGATAAAAATTCATTAATCTAATTAAATACTTCTTATTGCCAAAGTGACTTTGTAGAGGAGCTTTGCTGAAGGATAAGTGCAAAGTAAAATGGAGTCCCAGCAGAGAAACAAACGTTAGACTTCAGCAAGCTGGTACACGCTTCATTAAACTCATAATTATCCTTTGGTTCTAAGTAGCTGATAATATTTAATGAGTATCCAAGATAATTTAAAGAAAATGTTTACTAATGAGGAACAAACAGTGCTATGGAAAACGGATATCTGGGGTACCATAGTCATGTATCTTACCTGTATCTTATGTACTTGCTTTTGTACAAGTGATTTAAATGTTCTTTTTAAACTGTTTTACTACAGGCTGGTGTTGCTGGTTTCACTGAGATCCCCTCTGAACTATAAGGCATCCAAGGGAGAAAAGGATGTGCTGAGGAGCAGGCAGTGCTGCAGGGGATGACAGGCAAAATAAACCTAAGGGATCTGAGCACAAACTGGGGAGTAAAATGTTAACTTCTGGGTTCTAAATTGTAAGGGAACCTAATTTTTAGATCCTTCTGGGCGGTTTGTGTGGTCAGGGTGGATGTATTGCAGTTTGTGTAGTTTTTATCATTAAATTTAATAGGAAAATTATTTGACTCCTGACAGCCTACGTATCATCTGTTGGCAGGTGAAGCAGGATAGCCAGCTGAGCACTGGCCGATTGCTTTTCTCCAATATTCCTTTACAGGGATTGGTTTCTTCTTTGCCAGGGATTTGTGACTTCTGGATCAGAATAATCTGTTGGAGACACAGCTCGCAGTTTTCTTAGCCTTTGCATCCCTCAAAGATGCAGTTGTATATCTTTCTAGTGCAGAAGAGTTGCAATCTGTTTTTAAAAGATGTCAGAGAAGAGAATGAACTGTCTTGTGCCAATGCTAAGGTGATGAGATGTAGGAAATGAATGGGTGACAAGAAGGGGATCACTGTTGGAGAATGAGTTGCACCCTGAACCTCTATCCACCCCTTGTGAGCACTTTCCTGCTGCTCTCTGCAGCAGCCTGCAGCCTCCCTCACAGACTCAGGACCCCCGACACATCTCCCTGTTGCTGGTTGGCTCCCACTCTTCTTTGCAAGCATGCTGCTTTGTGAGGTCTGTTGTGTTTGCTCCCCCACAGCAGTGCCCAGAATGAGCTGTAGTGATTCAAATCAGAGTCATCACACTATAGCATTATTTATTTTATATGTAGCAGCCACTGTTAAAGGAAACAACCTGTATTGCCCATGCCTGGCTTGCAGTCTGCCGTTTCCCTTGCGATGCGAGCTATCCTGATATATCACTGACAGTCCATTTCTGGGAGCTGGGATTACTTTTACTAATACCATGTCCCTCCCTGCTTTGTCATTTTTCTGAGCTCCAACCGAAGGGACACAAACCTGCTTTAAGATGAGTGGTTGTGCCCGGTTTGATCAGGACCAAACTTAATACGGGGGTTTTTGGGTGAATATCAGCCACTGAGCTCTCTAAAGTCATTGAATGCTTTCCTGTAGTGTGTGGCAAACTCCAGTAACAGCCAGCACTTGGAAACCAGAGAGCAAACTGCAGGGCAGAAGCAGACATAAGTACAAAATTAATGGAGATATTTCTCACTTTCATCATAGGAGAAAAACAGCCTCTTTTCCAACATACCTGCACATAGCCTTGTGTCCTGATTGCATACGTATATTATTGCAGGTATTTTGATACTGGAATGAAAGGAAATGGGGACTGTGTGGATTAGGAGACCACATGCATGTGCCTATTTTATGTCTGTGATTATCTTTGTAAGGTGCTTAAATGCTGCAAGTGTAGCATCCTATAAATGGGTGGGAAGATTAGATTAGATCTACAGTTCTCAGTAAGGGAGTTTATACCTGCTTGGCTCACTTGGAGGCTGAGTTTCTCTTTAAATGCAGTATTGCTAGCTGTTTCTTATGCCCTTTATCAACTGAGTTTCCAACCAGCAGCCTCATAGGGCTTGATGCTGTATCTTTGATCTCAGATAGGTTTTTGTATATAAAATCATATTTCACACCAGCTTTGCAAGATGTTATGTTAATTCATTGGCTGTCTACTACCCTTGCTGCTATAAACACAATAAATACAGCATAAGGAATATATAAAGTAACACCCATCCATGCACCCAGTCTTGCTTCTGAAGCAAAATCCAGGGCAAACTGCTTGTATGGGGGAAGGGAAGGATTTTCTTCCACATCTGTATGTATCAGATTTTCAATTTTTGTCTGATGGAAGTCTGATGATTTCAGAGGGGTTGAAAAATAGCTGGTGCTTGGTCCATAATGACTGTGCTACTGTTGTATCACAGTGCTTCACTAAAGCCCGGACTCTCGTTCAGATGCATTGGCACAATGCCTAGACATGTTTTTTTGTTGCATTTGTTGGGTTTGTAAGCAGGAATTGGGTAAATTGCTCTTTTGCGATATCTGTAAGCCTTGCAACTGGTTGTTGGCTTTAAAGTAGGAAAAGTGCCGTTCTGACAGCTGCCTTTCCTGCATTTGACAGCAGCACCGCAGATGTGTTTCCTATTTTGCACCCAAAAGATTCCAACCTAGCATGCGGTCATCAGCCTATTGAAAAGAAACTGCCAGTTCACATTTGGAGAATACAGGCATAGGAATGAGCACAGCTTACGTCCTTTTCTAGGAGGCAAGGAAAGAGTCATAAAATTGTCCTAGCTATTAAAATGTTGGTTCCTTTCAAATTCCAAAGCACTCTTCCTATTCAGCATCTTACAGCTGAGCAGATACATCGATGTGTTTACAACTACCGTGAAGGGTAGAGTTAAGTATAACAGTGATGTGAGCTTCAGAGCTCGGTGTAATATAATGTTACCCTTGTGAAATGCAATTATTTCAGCTCTTGTTTTTAAATAGTTGTTTTTCTCAGTGTGAAAGCTAAATCACGTAACATAACAATGTTATTCATAAAGATACAAATTTTCTGTTCCCAGCAAATTTGCTTTGACTTTAAAGGGGAAATCATACGTAAACAAAACTTTTCTAAATTCTACAAGGACTGCAGAAAGCAAGAGCCAAAAATGCCCTTCAACAAGCCAACCCAGGCGAGTGAGACTAAAGGGAACACCTTTTCCTCTTGTTTCGGATAGATATGTGAGGTGAGGGGTAGCATGGTTTTAGACCTTTCCGGTACATCTAATTTTCTCTTTGCACCAAAGCTCTCGTTGATTTTAGGGAGGGAATACTGTGTAATAGCATTTAAAGTAGGTTGTGATTATAGGCCTAGGGCTTTATCCTCATCCTTATTCTTAACTCAAGGTGTTTCAGTGAGGTTGCTCTTGATGATCCTGACTCTTGGTTTTAAGTATTTAAAGAGATGGGACTCGTGTCCTGTCCTGTTGGAAACCAAAGCATGATGGAGGGCTGTTCATGTGTGGCTGCTTTCAGAGGGATGCAGTGTGTGCTCTGCCCCTTGCTTGTTCTGCTGGCACTGGATGGGCTGTTGAGACCTGGAAGGCTCGTAAGGGCTCTGATGTCCACCTCTGCTCACATAGGGAAGCAGCAGTCAAAGTAACTGAAGCAGTGAGTTTGTGAAAATAGAAATAAACAGGGAAATAAAAAGCGTTCTGGATTTTTTTTCTATGCTGACATAAAAAATACACCAGAGTTTCAATTCTTTGGGCCCAAAATATTGTAACCCAAATACTTGCAAATTGGAATTTAATTACAGTGATGAAAACATAAGGAAAAAATAGTAGAATATTAACAAAAAGAAACTTCAGCTGAGGAATAGATGCCTCTTATTACCTTGCAAATTAACCTTTTAATGTGTTTTTCATAGGTTGGTATACAACTTTTGACTCCCCCAAATTGAAATTTAATTATAAAACTACCAAAGTTTCAATGGTAACCTCTAAAAGCAGCTGTCATTTCAGTAGGACAGGCTGAAGGGAAAGACTTTCTCCTCAATAATTTATGAACAGGACATATTAAGTATCCAGGTAATTGCACTGAGATACTAGGTTTTCACACTAGGTAAACAAATAACTATAATGGAAACACAACTGTCTAATGGTCAGCTAAGAGCACCTGTAAAGAGTGGGCTTCAGTGCCAAAACCTGAGAGATTTTTTGGGGTAGATAATAGCTGCTGTGTCTTCTGAGTAGCCAGAAGGTCGAAAGGTTTGCTGAGATGGGAACTAGAAACCTATAAATAAGGAGACCATAGAAGGGCTGAGGAAAAGGTAGAGAATGCTGATGTGCGAGATGTTATGACGCTATTGAAAGACTGAGAAATAGGATGGATGATGGTTTGTATGTTAAACAGGGTGGGAAAATTGATTTCAGAGCCCCATCTCTGAAAATTTTGGTCATGAAGGAAAATGCTTTGGCTATGTCTGCGCCATGGACAAGGGTAACAATGTGCAACATGCCGTGGTCATCCACTTGGTAGAAAGTCTGCCTGTGTAAAGCCTTTGTGTGGGATAAGAACTAGGTTTACGTATATAAACTTTATTTCATTAGTTTTTTCTCCTCTGTTTTTCTCCAGCCCTTTAAATATCTCTCTTTCCATTCAAAATTTTATCCTATTGACCAGGGGCATGAGGAGAGGGCACTGCACCAAAAAACAGACCATGTTCAAGAGCCCAAATGCTCTTCTCAGCCCCACCACCAGGTCCCTGAGCAAGTCTGGGCACATCAGACAGAAACTTCCCTGCCTGCAGCCTGGGGCCAGTAATACTGCACAGCACCCTGGGATCTGCCTGGATCAGCCCCGGATTTATTCCATCTGTTATTAATGATGACCCTGAAGGACTGAAAGGAAGCTGCCTCTGCTTCTCTTGTGGGTCACTGACACACTGGTGAACTCAGTTTGTTTTCCAGCATCAGGTGTCTGAGGCCAAAGCGTTGTCCTCTCTCTGGCAATTTGCAGGGCTGAGAGGGCCGGAGGGTGTGAGCAGAGAGCCTCCATCAGCAGATGCTTGGTGCATGCGGGATGATGCACTTGTCTGTGGGCACAAAGGTTACTGCAGGAGCAGACCTGAAGGCTTTATAATGCTAGTCATGCATTTCATTTGGAAAGCGTGTTAGTATGTTTGAAGAATTGAGTCAAACTAACCTGCAGCAGGGGTGTATTCATTTCTGCATGTAAGACTCCACAGCTGTTATGTCATGGGCACATCATAGCATTCTCTCAAATTGTTTGTAATTCAACATTTAAAATGATATGGTGTTGTAAGTTAAGCAACTATCAAGACCTCAATTCCAAGACACAGAAGTTCCAGGCTACGGGTCCCATGAGTTTTATTTACTTTAATTCATGTCAGCTCATTATCAACCTCATCAGGGAGTGCAGACTTAAAAGTAAGCCTGGATCAGTCATTATTCTAGGTACACACATGTGGATTAAGGGTCTTTTCATCTACACAGTTTGGGAAAGCAGGGTGGAAATCTATATTGTTTCACTTTCCATTATTCAAATTTGTGAAATAATTTTT